TAAGACAGAAACCATTTGATTTTTCCAATGAAAACCTTGTACGGCTAGCGAAAAAACAACACTCCAGTTTTCTGCGAAGTCAAAATGCAACACGGCAGTACGAGGCTTGATGTGGCGTTTTTGGAAGCATATTGGAAGTCTCTGGGCTTGGGTGATGATCCAGTGGGGAATGTACTTCGTTAACCATTTTCTTATTTCGTTAAAAGATGCATTACCTTCCAAATGTTTTTTATTGAATTCGCCGGATCCTCATCTTGCCAGGTCCCCTTAGTCTTTCTCGTTTATTGATATCGATTCGAGAGTTGAACTATCTTTATTAGGAAATTATTTACAGTTTAGCCAAAGACACCCCTCCGATGGGTTTTCGCACAAGCAAAGTTTCTTGACGTCGTCTAGACTCAAATAGTTTCCTCCTGCGTTTGATAACGCCACCAAGCCAAGGGCAAAATTCGCACAATAAATGCAAACGCACCCTTCATGCACGGGACGTTTCATGGTCCATTCGTGTCGTGGGACGTAAGACTTTGTGAGCCCAAGTTTGATTTCTGGATGAGATGTCTTCATTTTTTTGTACATCTTACGGACAGTCATTGTCAAAAAAAAAAAAAGATTCTACAACAAGGATTTTTTTTTATCCGTACAGCGTCACACGTTTTGTATTGGAACTTGCCACTGTACAGTTTTTGTCATCGGACGTATAGTACCTCAGTGCGAGAGCCGCATTCTTTTTTAATCGATGGCCATGATAGGCGTCGATGATCGCCCACAGACCCTTTTGCCTTTCAGCTTTCTTGATCTGTCCAGAAGATATTTTGTGACTTTGGGAATTAGAGACATAACTTTTTTCTTTCGTCGAACCGGAGGGTAGCAAAGTCGAAATTCGGCACTTTACTTGTAAGGACGAGCTATTCACGTATGCGCACCGTATGTTGGATGCCCACTGAGTGCAGGACGAACAAGGATTCTGGAGTTCGGGGCTCTCTGCTGTGTGATAGACCTCACTAAGCCGGCGGCCGATCTTCTTCGAGAAGTCGTTTGCTACTTGTGTTAGCTTTCTTTCTACATATTTATCTCAAAGATCTTCCTTCAGCGCGGACGGAAGTTTCAACGGTGACATACTTGCGTTTGCTGTACTGATGACGTCCTTTGGTTTGCTCCTACGCAACTGCGGCGTCGCTCAGTGACAGTCTCCTGTGTTCTTTGAAGGTCTTGCAGGCTGCTCTTGAACAATGAAAAGCAGTTCTTGCAAAAGCTGTCCTGCCCGTTGACAGATGCCGCTTGTTCCGTTGGAAGTAGCTGCCTTAGCAATTCGAAGTTCAGATCAAACACTTTGCGGAAATTGCGCTGGTATTCGACTTTTCTTTTCTTTTGCGTCTTCTTGCATAATCAGGACACAACAGTCTACATTTGCTGAAGGTGCCTGCCATCGTTCCTTCTTCGGTACCAGAAATGACCAGCTCAGCTGACTGCGTGACTGACCTTTGAGAAAAAGAAAAAAAGTCGGTATGTCTTTGGCTCTGAGCTGCCAGAAGGCCACCGCCCCCAGGACCAGCTCAGCATGCGGAGAGAGATATTGCTTTGAGGAGAGAGAAGACCGTGCGATGCTATTCCGTCAAGAATGGCCACAAGGACACCGCCGGTTTTGAGCTAAAGGGAGAAAAGGGGTAAAAAAATAGAGTGGGACGCCGCCACAGCCCCAGTGCGTAGGCCCGCCGTTCGAGGATTATAAGTGTTATAACTTCACTTATTCGACGGAACGGCCAAAACTTATTCGGCAGGTCTACAACACCGCCTCTGTCCCTCTCTGTGTGTTTGCTTTAGCTGTCAGCCACCTCCCAGCGACTCGCAGCCGTTGCGACATGAGAAAAGAACGTTGCTTGTGCAGTGTCCGCGGGGGCTGTCAGTGGCCCAGGCATCGGCTAGCAAATGACCTTGGCAAAGGGACAGCGGGACAACACTGTCATGAAATATAAAATCAATGAAACGGCCTACCCTCATGCATCGTATTCTAAGCAACTGTAAGGGTCTAGCAAGGTTGCGCAGTATCGCGATACAAATGTATCGCGATAGTATTTGAGAAATACATTTCGTATCTGTATTTCCGTACCGCGATACATTGTTTTCACCAGCATCTGTATTCCTGTACTGAAATACATTTGAAATGTTTCTTTGTATCGCGATCCAATCGGGATGAAATGTATTTCATTACATTTCTTGAAAAATACCCCCCCCCCCCCCCAAAAAGAAAGAACAAAAAAACAAAAAGTCTGAACGCATTTTTTTTTTTTTTTACTTCTGATGGGCACCAGGATTAAAGAGATGCTGGAGCATTGTTACTATGCTGACCAAAGTTCCTTCCGATTCTCCAAACTATTTTACCATGCGTCTTCTTCTTTCTTCTGAGAAGTGTTGCGCAGTCGGAGATTCGAACCAGGTGGCGTGCCAGGAGTGGAGTTAGAGCATCTTCTGCCGCAGGTCTTTAGGTAGGTATTTCTTGAGTCATTGTTTGCTGGCATCCGATTCCCGCTGCTAACCGTCTCTCTCGCCTCAGCGTACACAGTGCACCCAGCCGGCGAAGCTGAGTTACAGTCCGTTTCAGCACGAGCCTGGCGGTGGTTGGCTTGAAATAGTAAGATGACTAAAGCAGTGAAGTTCACCACATATTCGAATGCGTGTGCGGCTGCGCCCGTGATATTGCACCGCTCAATGGTACGTCATCAGCCGACGTGACCGTGACTCGCTGTTCTGGAGATCTGAAACCCAGGAAGGAGGCCAGACAATGGCCTCGTTGTGCCGACCCGACCCAAACAGAGACCTCACAATCCACGAGGTCTCTGTTTGGATGATGCTAGGCGAAACTTGAGGACTGCAATCCATGCGCCGGTGGCGGAAGGTCGGCAGGAAGGACCTTCACAACAGGGATGCCACCGTATCGTTTTTTCAACCGTAACAGAAGATAAGACATATGTTCCAGGATGCTTTAGATGGTCCACTATTCTCGACTATTCCAAATGACACTGCCTGCACGATCTTCAACGAGGTAACGTATACAACGAAAGTACATATTGTCCCTTCATTTAGCAGCGTGGTAAAGTTTAATGTCAAGGCCAGACCTAGAGATAAAGAATACCGGGTCATTCACCCGTGACGTCATGTAATCAATGCTGACAGGGGCGTCCTTACTGGACAGGGGCATGGTGACGTTTGATCAAATTCAGGGTGACAGTATTTATTTAGAGGTCAAAGTTTTTTCGCATCCCTAGTCAGACGTCAGACAGGCAGGATGTCAGGGAAATAACCGCGGTCAATCCTTGATGGAACGTTTTTCTGAGCCCAATGAAGACTCCTCGTCGTCCAAAACCACTATCTTCATGGCAAAGTGCCAAGCCTACGGGAAAGTAATTTCTGTATCAAAAACTTCCACTTCAAAATTTAAGCTTCATCTCAGTTGGCGACTCAAACAAATATAAAAAAATGTATTGCAGTATCAGTATTTCTGTATTTGTATTTCTGCCCTGCCTAAAATATATTCCTGTATTTGTATTTCTAAAGACTTTTTGCCTCTATTTAAAATGTATTTCTGATACGTATCGCGATAATTTTTACAGACATATTTTATTATCAGTATTTTAGCTCCTATTTTAGTCTACCCCAGTATTTGTATCTCCAAACACATTTTTGAGCATTTCTGCCCAACTAAGAGGTCTAGGAGCGCTCCCCTTGAGGACATTGAGAGGGGAATGTCACCAAGACGCGCTCAAAGGTGCCGACCTCGAAGCGTTGCCAGACTGAGGCATTGTGAACCCCGCTAGACGCTACGAATACGTCGGCTAGACGCCCGCAAGTCTGTTGAGAATAGGGTGCATGTCGGTAGGCGTTAAGCCGTTTGTCTTCCTGAAACTGCCGCCTCTTTTGGCGTCTTGCAAGCGAAAACATAATTATCCCTTAAATTCTTATATTCGTATCAAACCTCACTACTTAGAACAATCGAATTAGATTACTACTGATTAAATAGTAATGCTTAGGCAGTAACCAGGTGAAATATGAAGATGGCTTGGAGATTTTTTTTTCTGTGCGTAGTTATGTGGAGACGGGTAAAGTAAGGTTGCCGAAACACGCAGGACCCGTATGTTCTGTTTAGTTATACCAAGTTATGTTTGGCGTGAAAGACATAGAAACAACACACTGTTCACGTGTGAGTTCTCCTACAAATAAATGAATACAATAGTCCACAAATAATATATAACCGTGCAGAAGAGTCACTAATAATCCAGATTGCTAAGTAGAGCAGAGTGAAAAATATCACGTCTTTAAACGCACGGCGTTACTTCAAAAACAATATATCCACTCTAATTTTTATGCACGTTTCAAGATTATGTGTAAAGGTTTAATAGAAGAAGTAAAAAAAATAAAGCTTTTTTGTTTTGTTTTAGAAAATTGGTTTTGTATATAGTGCACTTTTAGCGATTCCTCTTTTCTTCAGAGGTTTGTTCCACTACATTACTACTAATTGACAAAAGTGAATATTTCTTTTCAAAATAGATAATCTTTATGTTTTTGTTTCATCTGCTGTTCATGCCAAAACTTTAAAAGAAAGGAAAGTTAGTCATTAAAGTTCGGCAAATATCCGCTGAAGGGACTTAACAATTTTTATTTCACAGAATATATAAAAAAAACAATTTCTAATTTTTATTAGATCGTTGTACCAAAAGTAAAAAATGAATAAAAAAGTTTTATTGCTGTGAGATTAATATATAAGTCCAGCGGGGCTCTCGAATGTGCGACATCTGACAATCGCCTAAATCTCAGAATCCGCTTTTAGTCAATTGAAAATTAAGAACTCAAGTATAAACTTTTTCCTTAAACTCGTTTCTAATTTCGCTGTAATTAAGATTTTTTTTCCACAACATAATTGTTTTTCAAAATTGTTTGAAGACGCAACATTTTTTTCTTGCATGATTTGAAATGAAACCACCCATTTGTCTTTTTTTTTCACACAGCTCCAAGTGTCCCCGCTTATGTCGAACTGATTTCTGTGGAGGAATGGAAGGTCGTAATTAAAGTTGGAGATCCTACAGACTGGAATGGAGAACCGGCTGGATACCAAGTTCGTTGGGAAACACTAGAGGGTTCGTCAGAAAAAGGCCATGTCTACACCAGCATACCGAAGGAACGTTCAGTGGATGATAACTCAACAATTATAACAGTGTCTCTTATTTCTGGTAGGCGCTACAGGTTAAACATTTCAGCTCAAAATAATGGACATCGAAACAAAATCTTCAATAGCTCCGAGCTTGAGATGGAAGCCTGTACTATTCCACTAGGTAAGAACATTTCAAGGTAATATATTCTGAAGTCACGTTTACCGAAGAGTTCACGTTTTAAAACAGAAGTAACGCCCTTGAGCGTTATTGTTGTAGCGTTGTTATTATTATTGCTGAAACATGAAACTACACCACAATTTGTATGTACAATATATTACACAAGTTACCCTAACCGCGTTCGCAGTCTTTTTAGTAATGTTATATTTGCCTGCCATAATAAAAGAATGGGCAACTAAGTACTCTAGATAGCGCCCACAGGCTTAGAGCACTTGAAGCAAATGTCGCTCTAAAAAGGATTATATTATACACAGAAATTCTGGATTTTGTACTTACCTCTGTTCGTTTACATTTAGACGAGTTTTAAGCCCTCGTTCGGCCGAGTATCGCTACTGCGTAGTCCACGATAAAAACCCCAGGTATAACAACATTGCCACAATAATTAAATTTTTATTCTAGAGCATCAACCAGCGATACCCTGCTTCATGTTCTAGATTCGAAATGTTTCGTGTTGGACACTTGCCGCGTGGCGGGCGACACCGCCTGCGCGACAAGGCTCAACCCGACAGTGCCCCGCATTTAGATGCGCTAAGAGCGAGAGCAATTTGGACCATTTATCTGGTTTTGTTGACACCTCTGTCTACTTCCACACTGGCCACCGCAAAACTAGGAGAACTCGCTGCGCATCGCCTTACACAACTGTCGTGGAGACACTGCGCTACTTTCTTTTTTATGGAGGTGGTGTGAACACAGGTTTTCTCTCGTATACGTAAGCAAGTAATTCTCTGTAAAGCACGTGGCTCACACCTTCAAGGCTCCAGGAGCATATTGTTCTGGGTAATTTATTTATTTTTATATTTTTGGCTCCGTTTTGGAATATATGCTTTTTGTTACTCTGCTGGACTTCACGCTTTTAGGTTTCAGCTTTTAGTTACGGTCAAATGTCACATGTTTACATACAATCTGGCTAATGCAACACATTCTGCGTTAAAGAAGCCCAATGGGTATTGCAAACATAGCCTCTATTGCTTTGAGATGAACTCATAGTTCGTGAAAACATCTCAAGTTTCACAGATTCTAAGCAGCTATTAACGACATAATGTACCTAGTTTATTCACCAGCATGTGCAAAAGATGGTTAATGTCCTGCATTTATGACTTTCGAACAGAATCCGTTGATCTAACTGCATATGCCCTTGGCTCTCACGACGTTGTCGTCTCTTGGAGGGCTGATCTTTTTGTGGAATACTTTCAGGTATGTTCTTACAATTGAAAGCGATACAAACATGAGACACAGGTCCATGTTCTCTCTGGAAATGTACTTATGAAATATTTATGTAAGGGATCACATGATAGCCACGTTGATATCTTTTTATTGGCTTCTGCCTATTATCCAAAAATGTGTGGTATTAAAAATAAACCGATTGGAACGTTTATTTCTGACGGCCTAAAAAGACACACGTCGCATAACACGTAGTAGTGGTAGGCGTAGTATTTTGTCACAAAGTGGTGTACAATACACGACAAATGTGAAGACCCATTGACCTGACGAAGCTCCCATCACTAGGCGCTCGCAACTCCTGTTGTTATTGTGTTACGGCAATGGATCTGTTACGGCACACCAAAATTTTATGTTGGCATCACTCATAAAAGAATCACGAAAAACCGGTCTATTCAATTCAAATGTGTCCGCTAAAAATATTTAACTTTGAATCGATTGTTTTTACCTAATATATGATTAATTAGATTCCACACTAAATGCGCCAATCACAAAGAGCTTTAACTGATTAAGAGGCGTCTCGCTGCAGACTAAGCACACGAACATAAACGTTATTGTTCTCGCTTGCGCAGAAGGTCCCTTCTGACTGTCTGCCAATAGGTGGGCGGCGTTTGGCAACCGGAGGTTCCTTAGAAAGTTTTTCTTTAGCTGTTGACAAACAACGACGACGATCTCCAAGCTTGTGTAAGCATGGTTCTGAAATATAAAGTCTGGAGGTTTCAGAATTATGCTTGTCAGGCTTGCTGCTTATTGTTGTCGTTTGTCAACAGTGAAACAAAATTCCTATGGAACCGAAAGTTGCCAAACGCCACTCGCCTATTGACATCGAGTTGCGACACGGGTTAGCGTTATAATAAAACTAACTTTATACATTTAAGACAAACCTTGTATACTAAAAAGGACATTGAAGAGAAATGACGGCTTTGGTATATTTTTTTAGATTTAAGCCAAATGTTTACTTGCTGTAATGAACATCTTTGGTGAATAAAATAAAGTAAGCTTTAATTTATTATATAAATTTACACGCTGTTCTTGCTGATCCTAATATAGATTGTTTCCACAAAAATACAGAAGCTATGCTCTGTTGGTAATACACAACAAAAATTGGAATTATTGAAAGAACGCGGTTAATGAAAAGCTTCATCTCTTCTGCTTATCCAGGGACATTTAGAAGAAAAACACTCAACACACGTGTGCTAAAGAAACACCGATGAAAATACAGCTTGATACCAATCTGTGAGAAGCTAGGTGTCGAAACATATTTGAATAATCTGAAGATTTATCTAAATTTCCCATTATGATGTTGTTTAGTGACACTTACTTTCTTTGAGACTTACTCTGAATGAATTATGATTTGAACCTGGCAATATAATATGGCATCAAACCTCTGAATGTACCGAAATTAGTTTATTACTTAGGGCCCGTTCACACTCTTGCAACCGAGTACGACCGAGAGAGACCAGACCGGTTTTTAAACCTCTTGCGAACTCTTAGGACCAGCTCCGCTCTAGCGCATCCGGTCCCAAGAGGTCTTTCTCGGTCGCACACGGTTGCAAGAGTGCGAACAGGCCTTTACACTTAAGCGAGCCTTCAACCCGTCGGGCCAAACAAGTAGCCGCGACTCGAACGACACAGGGTTGAACACCGTGGAAAGGCTGAGCGAAGCATTAGGAAATCACGCACCTAGAAGCATAATTTATGTCTCTGAGCATAGTGTCGCGGGAGGGTGAGTGTGTCGCTTAACGTTCTTACGTAGTTTTACGCTTCTTATTTTTATATCTTTAAGGTTACAGCCTGTGACGAGAAGTGCGACTTTGCAGCAAATGACAGTTCGCCATTTCTTCCCTCCGCTGAGCCAATCGATGAAAACGCATCTGCGGAGAGCCCCCAGAAAAAGGACTCGTTGCCGGACGTGCGTATTTTTATTATCTATGTTTCGTAGCGGTCGCGACAAATGTGACTGAAGCAAATTGAAGTTTGAAATATTGGCTGCCCCTTTTTTGGGGCAGCTTCGGCTAAGATCTTAAAATCGCAAAATTTTAAGGTTGTTTTGTTGTTGCAACATGTAATGCAACACGGGAGAATCTCGTTTTATGGGCGGTCACACATGTGTTCAGAAAACGTGTCGTTAGTAGTTAGCACTGATGAACTAAAAATAAATGTAGAGGGAAAATAGGTAAATTAAGTTTACGTCTCATATTAACTCATATGCGTAGCTCCATCCCTAAAGCGATCATGGTTTAGGAGAAAATGTTTATGGGATATACGCGAACGCAGAAAGGAAAGCAATTAACATAGATGACAAATAGGTTTCGTCATTATTAGTATACTTGGCGACGCTGTAGATAGGACAAGGTACTTCATTATCCGCCCTTTGCGCGATTATATTAACACACTTACGTGGGCAAGCCGTAAAATACATTGCATACTCTTTTCCTAAACTTCGTCAAAGTAGTACAATGACCAATGAAAATTACAATATATTATTGAGGAATGCCGTAGCAAATATTAAATAATAACTAACATTCAGTGCGTATTTCTCTAAATGAACTAACAGTTAGTTTATTGATTAATGGAGTTTTTATCGTGTATTTGAAGTTTTGTTGTGTATTTGAAGAAGAAGCATATCAAATCTCAGCTGTATTCTTCAAGTAATGAAAACTTTTGTTTCAACTTCAAAAGGGCATCAAGGCATCAGTGCAAATTACTACCCAGGGGCTTAACATGGCTTTATCTATATGACAGGTGATTTTTTTGTATTTTAATAAAAGTACTGGTAGGTACCGAATTCTCACACTTAGCACTAGCGTGGGTGAAAATGTTTCCAAAGAGAGCGGGGAACAAGGGGGTAGCTACGCGAATCTGCAGTGTCATGCACCCTTGCCCCCCCCCCCCCCCCCCCCGGGCTCCGCGTCTTCTACTATAATTCTGGGGGGGGGGGGGGGGGGCAGAAAAGAGGGGACGAAGCTGAAGCTCCATAAGTGCCGCCGCCCTCCTGGCTACGCTCTTGCTGCTTGTGTTACTGCCCTGAATAAGAATACTCCACCACAATAATCTGTATTAAGGCAGCCGCTCATTTTCAATAGCAAAACAATGAATCGAACTATTGCTTCCCATGAGCAGTGGTGCAGCGCTGCTTACGTAACGCTACACTGTTGGCGTATGTTATGCAGGCACCGCCTCGGATAAGAACGACTGTCATTGAAAATTACTAGTGCGGTTGAAAGTGCCATTTTTGAGACACTAATTTGGACAGTAAAACATACTGCCCTCTTTCAACTGAAATTGGATAATTGTCAATGTCATCTACGCGGTACGTGTCGCGCTGTTTACCTCTTAAAAATCAGGACCATGTGAATCGCATATCCTAAAACAATATACGACATCAGGAATCACTTAATTACCCTAAAGCGTTCAATGATGGCGGGAATGGGGGGGGGGGGGGGGGGGGCAATTCAACGCTGCCTGTGAACTTTATTTTCAACAATATGTTTTTGACTGAAATAATTGTTCACTCTACCTTATGACGCGTTGCTATGGTTTGCAAGCCACTACCGAAAGAAATTTTCGTGAAAATTGTCGCGTTAATATTAACGCATTATTCAAATTACATAACTAGATCAAGTATTGACCTTTTAATTTTCTTGCAGTCATTTGGCAAAGCTAGGTATCTAAGATCTGATGATGTCCTCATTAATGTCAACGGAAGTCACGCTGAGTCATCCGTGCACAGCTACACAATCAAGAACCTTATTCCATCTTCGAAACGATATATCAGAGTGAGAAGCTGCTGCAAGGATAAGTGCACTCCTGGAATCACTGCACAAGTCTTCACAAGACCAGAGCGTAAGTGCAACCTGCAAATATAGCACAGTGACCAGCTGTGACCCTTAAAAGCGTTATGCGTTTCTACAGTGCCCTTCGCGGCACAACAACTAAATCTATGAATTTTACGACATATTGAGTTTCGTCATATTAAAGAAACGCAAGAAGCCAATAAGAGATGCAAATTGCCTCTTCGCCTAATGGGAGCATCCTGAAATTTAAAAATAAGCTTATAGAGATAAAACTAAATCAACACTTCACTAACTTCTGAATTCCATCGTAATATAGCTACTTAAGTTTGAAATATTACTATTGAGTGAATGTTTAGCGGATCTATATAACGTTTCTTGAAATAAACTATTTTCTTGATAGCTTCAATGTAACTAGAAGTTGTTCTGTAAGTGTATTTTGTTAGATGTTTACTAAAGATATACATTCAGATTTCAGTATACGAAACCTTACGAAACAGAATATTATTATCGTATGAAATGAACATTTAGCTAGCATAAAATAAATGTACTCCATTGCCACTAGCCCATACGGAGAAACGCCAAATCTTACCAAAGTTTGAAAATCATTGGTCTAACGTGGGTCAATTCGGTTTTGCTTTAAGCGCCAAACAAACATATTTGATTTTTCTTTAGCTTTCCACTGGTTGGCCACATAATTGCCACATAACTAGATTTTGTCGTTCGCGCACCAATCACCTAGTTGTGTTTGGAGATTTTTGTGTGTCCTTTGTCCCCCTTCTTCCCGTCCTTTTCCCCCTTGTTTACCTTCTCCAGTGTATATTTTCGTAATTCTCGTCTAGCTCGCTTGCACATTTGCGCGATTGCATTATCATAATTAGCTGAAATTCCTGCGCGATTGCATTATCATAATTACCTGAAAATCCTGCCATTCCCCCTTCTCGGTGTAAGATTGATGGCAGCTGATAAAACCCGCTTGCTTTTTTGCCGTCTAACTCCTGATTAGCCAAGTTGATAGAGCACTCTACTGGAAATGGATCGGCCCCTTGTTCGATACTAGGACCAGGCGGAGTTTTTCGGTCGCGCAACAGTCACCCAGCTGTGTTTTGAGACTTGTGTTTGTCCTTCGTTCCCCTTCCCCAGAGATTATTTTCGTCATTCTCGTCCAGCTCGTTTCCACCTTTGCGTTAATTGCATTACAATACTTGCCACACTTTAGCCAAATATGCAATGTATCAACCGAACAAAACTACTGCTAGCATTTGTTAAGACGTCTTGGCACAAAGTCTCCAAATGAAAATATAACAGTTCGAAGTGAAGGCTAACTCATGCAGTTGTTTTACAATTTAGTCAAAAATTACTTGATGACAGCTAATATCTCAGACAGTGAAGCCTAACTTTGGCACGCGTTCGGCGATTCAGGGCCAAAATAACCGGACTCAATTCGAAGAGAGTAATGTTTCGGTATACCTTGAGTTCGTGCTTTCCAAATGCCGAAATTCAGACAAAAAATAATTTTTGCCCAAAAACTGTGCTAGCTGTGGGTGTATAACAATTCTACGAGAACTAAGAAAGGAGGACGTCCAACCAAGCCCTACAAGGTAACCCACGTTTTCGAGGTCATCTTAACTCTTCTCAAGGGTGACTTTGGCGATGACCGCTGCGGAGCAGAATGTTCGTTTTCGTCTTCAATTATGGGCACGTATTTCTTTCTGAGTTGGTGGTGTCTGGAAGTCCATAGATGGAAACGGATGGTAAAGGACCGAAGGACCTATTTATATTTTGTGTCCTAGTTTACATGTTCAACGAATTCAAGAAAAGTATGTCTTCGATTGATTCCAACGTTAAGAAAATGGGTTTTCTTAAAGGCATTGCGGTGGTCTTTGACGTCGCCGTGTTCAGCAACCGCACTGCGCTCGTGCTTGAACTTCCGAAAGTTGCTTTGGTGTTGACGGATTCTAATCTTAAAATTTTTGGTGTCGCCAAAGCTCCACCATCGGCCCAGGGAGTAATATTGTCACCAATGACTAGGTGACGAAACGAAGGATAACTGAAGAAACTGAAACGTTTAATGGGGCGAACCTTGACTTTGTTCCAGAAGCCCCTTATGTACACGCGTGGAACAATCGGCGTAGACAGTTCGGCGTGTAGAACATTCGGACCTCGAACAAGCAACAGGGTTCTCGAATTTACCGAAAAACTAAATTTAAAGAACAAATAGAAGACGCGCGTCACTCCCAGGGATCGCACCCCGTGCTTCTGCACGAGAATCAAGCGCAGTAACCACTCGGTCAAGCACGCGGTCGCTCGCCGACGTGCGTGGCATTACTCCCCGCCCTTTAAAAAGCCATCGTCTCGTTGGTACGTGAAAGGCAACAAAACAGAGCAAGACAAACAAAAGAATGGGTAAATACGGAGGCTGGCAAAACACAATCCTATGAAGCGTTGCACAACTTCACAGTTCGCAGACTTGTCGCGCGTAGTACTGCGTGAGGCGCACGACGTGGACGACTTCCGGTCGTGAAGGGCGACGTGATGCAGTCCGTGTTCCGTCGGGCATCACCTCGTAGTTCCCATCCCCGAATCGACGAAGCACCTTGTTGGGCCCGAATTAGTGCTTCAGGAGTTTCTCGCTTAGACCGCGTCGTCGTATCGGGGTCCAAACCCACACACGGTCTCCGGGCTTAAAGCAAACGTCGATCAGGCGAAGGTTGTACCCGGTAGCGTCGACGCGTTGTTGATATTTATTTCGGAGTCGGGCGAGCTGGCGAACTTCTTCGGCCCGTTCAGCAACCACCTGGGCGTCGGCGATCCCATCGTCAGCTGGTTCGTGAGGTAGCATCGGGGGGAGCATGTCGTTCCTTTTCTGCCATGCACCACCTGAAACGGGGTTACTCCTGTGGTCTCTTGCACCGCCGTGTTGTAAGCAAACGTGACGCAGGGTGACACCTCGTCTCATGTCTTGTGCTTGGCGGCGTAAATACAGCTACTTCGTGGGTCTTCTCGGGTTCAGGGAGAACACCTTTGTTGTTCACGACGTGGCCGAGGAACTTTAGTTTACCATAGGCGAACCGACACTTTGTCGGCTTGAATGACAGGCCGGCGGTCTTGATGGCTTGAAACACGACTCGCAGTCGTCTCAGGTGTTCGTCAAAATCCCGTGAAGATACTACGACATCATCCAGCTGGACGAGGCAGCTCTGCCATTTCAGACCTGCCAGCACGGTGTCCATGACACGCTGGAAGGTGGATGGTGCTGTACAAAGTCCGAATGGCATTAGTTCGAATTCGTAGAGTCCGTCAGGAGTGACGAAGGCAGTTTTCTTGCGGTCACGTTCGTCGACTTCAATTTGCCAGTAACTACTCTTAAAGTCCATCAACGAAAAATATCAGGAGTGGCGCAGTCGGTCTAACGTATCGTCGATACGGGGCGAGGGGATATACGTCCCTCTTCCTCACAACGTTCAGTCGACGATAGCCCACGCAGAACATCAGGGTTCCGTCATTTTTTACGAGGACGACTGGGAACACCCACGGACTTCTTGAGGATTGAATGATGTCGTCGTTGAGCATTTCCTGTACTTGATCTTGAATCACCTTCCTTTCCTTTAAAGAGACTTGATATGGCGAGTGGTAAACAGGGAGCGCGTCGTCGTCGGTAATATTGCGATTTTTCGCCATTTGTGTTTGGCGAACTTTCCACGACGTGGCAAAACAGTCACTGTATTCGGCGAGGAAATCAACCAGTTGCCGGTGTTTAGGAGCTGGGAGCTCGGGTTCGATGTCGAACTGCAGCGGTGGCGTGCTCTTCTGCTGCGACGAAAAGGTTTCCTCGGATTTTGCGGTGACCACGGCTGGCGTCTGAAGCTCCTCGACGTGGCCCACGGTGGTACCCTTTGTTAGGTGCTGCGGCTCCTCTCGAATGTTTCTCAAGAGAACAGTTGTACGTCCTTCTTGGAGATCCGTTACGCCTCGTGCGATGCCCATTCCTTTTTCAAGGAGCAGTTAAACGCTGCCTTCCAGAACAGCTTCCCCGTGCATGGGTACGTCGGTTATGACGGTGACGAAAACACTCGACCGCGGCGGCGGGTTCACATGGTCGGTGATAACTCGGATCGCGGTTGACGTGTGTTGGTCTCCACCGGGCGGCAGAACGGGCTTTCGCAGCGCCAACTGGTTTGCCCCAAGGTTGATGACGGCGCCATACTCGCAGAGAAAGTTCATTCTGAGAATAACGTCCCTCGCACAGCCCTGGAGAACGACGAACTTCACAAAGCACGTCTCACCGTGGATCTCGACACGAGCGGTGCATCTCCTGGCTGGTGTGATGAGGTGCCCACCGGCGGTTCGTATTTGAGGACCTTCCCACGGCGTTGTCACTTTTCGGAGGCGGCGTGAGAACCTCCCACTCAAGACTGCTCCGGTGTTCACGAGTGCCGATGCGTCGTAGCCGTCGATAACAACGTTTAGGTTGTTGGGCACCGTTGCAGGCGCGTCTTTGCGATGCGTGGTGTCAGGAGAGTGGGAGCGCTCCGGCGTTCTTGGAGGCTCTTTACGTCGGTCGTCTTCGGCAACGCCACCTCCAGGCGCTGCCGCGCCTAGTTTTCCCGCCGAGGAGCGAGGGGCGACAGGCTTTCCCGTCGGGGTCAGTGCATCGGCGAAGCTGGACGTCGCGGCGACGGCGACCAAAACTCACGGTGGGACGCAGGCTCGGGGAACTACGGTCGTCGCAGGTACTCGTCGAACTCCCAAGGGCGTTCACCATAACGGGGCGCGGGTCGTTCGGTTGGAACCCGCGCAGCCCGAGTCGTCGGTATGGGCATCGGCGGTAGGTGTGGTCTGCTTCCCCGCAGTGGAAGCACAGAGGGCGTCGGTCCGGCGTTCGCCACACGTCGGTCTTCCGGGGTGCGCGGGGCTCCTGGCTGGCGTACTGGACCTGGTCGCGCGGTGTCGGTCGTGCGCGGCGTCCGTCGTGCTGCGGCGCAGGAGACTGCCGTCGGGGCGGCGCGATATAGGCGCGAGGAGGAGGCGGTGGCCATCGGGCCACTGCGG